CTCTCACAGTTACAATTAAATTTACCTCCCAGAATCTGGGAGGCACGTGACCAGCCGCAGCCAGGGTCTCTCCCAGATGACAGAAGGAGAGATCCTGGGAACGAGGTTGGGCAGAGCATTGGACTACTATCCCAATTAAAGGTCGAGGGTTCGACTACCACCGTGGTCAGGCTGACTTTTCAGTCTGCCCGGTGTGGATATACACCCAGAGTAACATAAAAAACATTACATTCACCTGAGTATTACTAGTCTAGAGTATTAACATTACTAGATTTACCGCCAGTAAGAACTAGATGTGGCGAGACCTCGTTCAGATTCTCGGCTGCCAGAGTTTGGAATTCTCTACCGAAAGAAATACGAGAACTAAAAACACTTGTGCGGTTCAAGAACGAAGTGTTTAAGTACTTGATAAACATGGATGCTGTTATGCACAATAATATTGTAGTTTGTAATTTTAGACATTTTACATTATATAGCCTTATTTATGCACTGTTACGCACTTATGTTATGTTATTGTACCGTATATATACTTGTTATACATGCACTGACCACCGATTGATACCAGCCAATCTATGTAATTGACTGAACGGTCTTTTTATCAGTATAAATAAAGATTTTATTATTATTATAGGACATAACACCGAAATACACACAAAAGACCAGGTATACTGGTTACCATGCATAAATGCTGCCATCCCCGAACCACCAAAGAAGACTCGACAGTCAACAACTAGACCACCAAGTAATTGGTATCAGAGGCAAGAAAGCCGAACTCATGGAATTCAAAGCCACTGCTCCACCCACTGGAGACATTTAGAATTATCCTGTTCGAAATTTTGTGGGATCCAGTGAGGATACAAGTCATTCACAGTTTAGTATCCTGTGTGTAAAAGGATACTGCAAATTTCATACCCTGTGGTCACTGCAGAGTAGATACATATACAGAGTTATAACTAGTGTACCCACATTTTTTGTGCGCGTGCTCGGCCAGTTACTAGGTGGACGAATCCTATTGGATGACGACTCGCTTTGACTGCTCGCAGAACTTGCCGAGCACGCGCAGTTGATCATTTTTTGCTCGGTCGCTTGAAAAAAAGTGGATACATGAAAACCTAGGTTTCCGCAGTGTTTACGAAGGTTCGTTACAGCTCTGTATATATCTCCGAGCTGTGCTGTGGTGCTGCTAAGTCTTTAAGATAAACTACACAAAACATATTATTATACGGCAAGCATTTGTTTTGATGAATCGCGCAATTTGATTGGCTGCTGACGAGGCAGGATTTTCCCGTATTGCCCACGGGCAATACGCAATTTTTTTGCCCCGCGACAAGAGCCGAGTTTCAAACGGCAAAAAGTGTCTAAAAGTCTTTCAAAACTATTCAAAACGAAGAAAAATAAACCTAAACTAAAGAAAAGGAGCACCTTCTTTGGTTAAAGAACTTTCTCAATATGTTTTTGTTAGCGAAAGTCGAAATTACAAGGTAAATTTTACAATGTTTATAACTATTAAAGAAGTCAGGAATAGCTGTGTTTTGACTTTGTGAAGAGCTGCAAATCTTATTTGCAGATAGCCGAGGAATTTGACACCATCCTAAATAAAAAATACAACTAAAGCAGCCACAGATTTATATTTTTTCCCTGAAAATTTCTGGGGGTTTTTCGATAAAAAGAGATATATTTATGAGATGAAGCGAACTAAAACCGTACTTGTCCATACTGTTTATTAATTTTATTGTTTCCATATTTGTTGTCTTTGTCTTTGATTAAATGACGAAATACCTCGTATTTTTCTTGAAATACTATCCAACTGTGTTAGTATTCTATATAAAAAGTGCTGTAGAGTAGTTTTACTAACCAAGCTTGAGAACATTTTTTACAATTGTTCTTTTTTGCAAATGTTTCGGACTTTGTACTTTGCCCTCGCGTGACCTTTTTTACCCATTTTTTACAAACGTACAATGCCATATAATAAAAAACTTACTGACCTCAACCGTTCGGGCAGTACGGGAAAATATCCAACCTCGGTCTTGCTGTATTGACCTCGCTATCGCTCGGTCAATACAGCAAGACCTCGGTTGGATATTTTCCCGTACTGCCCTCACTCTCGGTCAGTAAGTTATTATTATTATATGGCTTTTCAAAATTCTCTATTCTGATTGGTTGACAAGCGGTCCGTAAAAAACCATATCCGGACAGTGGTCCGTATTTTCCGTATCTGGACCGGTGTCCCGGATGTCGTTTATCTGGCGGGAAATTTTTGCTTTGCAAACAGAAAAATTTTTTGCTTTTTAATTTTCCAATTGTACTTCACCTGTAAAACGAAATTGTTTTTGATTGAGCGTGCATTCCTACCGTATTTTGTTACCCAGGGCGTAAAAAAACAATACCTGTGGTTCCGGTTCCCGACCGACCCTATTTTTTCCTGCCGACCCTATTATTTTTTCAACGCGATTGACCGTGCGACCCTATTTTCTCCAGGTGGTTGCGGGCTGCTCATACAGCATGCCAAAATGGCGTCTGTTGTCACAATAATTATTGAACCAAATTGCCTCAATTCGTCCATAGGAAATACGCATCTCTAGTTAATATTGATGTCGGGACTCTAATGCAAATCGCCCAGCAAAAAAACCCCGGCAAAACCATGAAAAAAATATTTAAAAAAAAAAATTATTTCCGACCTACCGACCCTAATTTTTTCACGATATGAAACCGGAACCACAGGTATTTTTTTTTACGCCCAGTGAAACTGACGATAGCCGATTTAATTCGCACGAAAAGCATCAGTGTGTGTGGGCTTTTGCTAGCGTTTTGCCACTGCCAATGTTTTCAAATATATGTTTTGCCACTGCCAGTGTTTTCAAAATTTATTAATGTATTTTATCCACGATCATGGAAAACTGAATTGTCGTCAAACGTTATCGAACTTTTTTCACGAACCAAAGCTACAGATCGTAAATGATGAGCCGGAAGTGTAGTTGCAAGAATATTACTAGAAGTCGAGAAATTAAATTTAAGTAATAAATGTTGGTGGTTAGTGAAATGATGAATATCAATAAAAGTCCTTCCACTTTGAAGGACATCTCGGTTCGTAAAGCTTTAAATTATTCAGGTCTTAAAACAACGTCTACAGGGCCGTCTGACAAAATGTCCAATAACTTTTAGCTTGTGGGTCGGACATATATATGATGATGTCCGATGACCTTCAGTTCAGTTTGGCTCGGAAATAAGTCTGAATGACACAAATTAATATCAGCACAATGTATTAATTCTGAACTAAACATTGTGAAGATATTAAATAATTTGTGTCATTCGTACTTATCTCCAAGCCAAGATTAACTTGCTTGCCAATAATAGCAGTACGACTTCGACAATTTAACTTAAGTTTTCCACTTCACCATTTCGCCGGCGCCCCGCTCTCGATGACATTATTAAAAACAACATTTCCGGTTCATTTTTGTACAATACTCTGGTTCTCCATTTATAAAATACGAGCCTCTAGTCCTGGACCAGAGTACAATTTGATTTACGTGCGTGGAGAAAGCGTCGAACAAAGCTACAGTTCGGTCGGACACCAATACACTTAGGTCGAACAAACAATAAACCTCAGTTTCACTTAGGTCGGACAGAATGTTCGGTGGTTTCCTCTCTACGTCGGACAATTTCACGAATGGGTCGGACAATGTCCGTGACCGACCGATATTTTAAGGCCTGAATTACAATTTTACAAAAACATCTTGTATCAGATCACACAAATGTGAAATGTATCTTTTTGTGAACTTAAGGGGAAAATTACTTTAACTGAGTTTCGCGAAATTCCGCGGTTTAAACTGAATTCCGCGATTTTTGAATGATTCCGCGAAATTGCGGTATGGTGGAATTCCAGAATGCCTGTTATGGGTAATGGATGTGATATCTAAACCTCTCTAAATATAACAATACTATTTTGGGCCGATTTCCCTTACCGGATGTATTGTAGTATAATTTTTAAAACAAGATTGAACTCTGTTGAGTCGATGAAAGAACTCTTGCGTGTGATAAGTCAGATTCCAACGAGTTTCATAGCATTCTAAAATACATATATAAGAATGTGATTAGCAGCGACAGTTATCCACTTATCTTTGATGTTATTTACCTATATTTCAGAGGTATATTCAGAGGCGTTGTTGCAAAAACATTTCGTGCACTTAATTTGGATAACACTTACTACAGTACCAAATAAATAATATATTTCCATTTCCAATTAATTTTAATTAAAGCACAGAAGTCTAACTTGAAGGTCAAAAATTGTTCATATATAAATAAGTAATTCACTATTACTAGTACCTTGCTTATAACTATTCAAAAAAAGAGAAAAAACGAAAGGAGGAGAGAGAAAAAAAAATCTTGTTCAAATATAATTGCATGTAATTATTAATTTGTATTTTTAATTTTGTTTTGTTAGTTTTGCCAATCATTCCTTGTATTTTTGCAGTAGGAATTTCTTAACTTCAGCTTTGAATTTTGATATGTTAAGTTTCTTCATTTCATCATCAATTTCATTCCATACCTTTACGCCCCCCACATATAATAGTTTTTAAGATCCAACATTATTTTGTTTATGGTGCCAAATCAGTAACGTAAAAATTCATAGACATGTAAAATTAAATTGTCTTAAATCATACATGAACAATAAATCAGTCCAAACAGTCTTCCTAACCGATTTAAAAAACTTGTAACAATAAATACTGTGTAGTCTACATTGCGCTTAAATCTTAATTGCACACCAGTGCACCAGAAATATTTTGCTTGCACACCAGCGCATCAGAAATATGTTCCTGCACACCGGAACACCACTCATCGAAAAACGCGCCATACTCTGCAGCCTGGCTCAGAGGGATACAAAATTTTGAATCGTGGTTTCCCGCTTGGATATCGAGAAAAAATTTAAATTTCACACCCTGGCCAAAAGGCCTTCAAAGGGTTTTCGTTCGAAATGTTGAAGTTTTCCTCGTACTTTTCCACTACTTGAATCCCTACCCATTCACTGTACAGTTCTCTGGTGTTTTGTGCAGTTACCTACAGTGTATGCTGGTACTGTGAAACAGGCCATCCGAGAATATTAATTTATTACTTTACAAGCATATAAGAAAGCAAAAGGTTAATAAATGTACATGTTTAAAACCCATTGAGTGCCTTAAAATCGCTCTTGCCTTGATGAGTAAAATTGTCTGGCATTAGACAAGGTAAAATGACAAAGTAAAGCGCATTAGAGGACAATGCAAGTCAGTGGGTTAACTGGACACATGGTCAGAAAATCTGATTAACCCGTTGAGCAGCAGCACTCTCTATTTGACAAGTAAAGTTGTCTGGTGTTAGTCTGAGGGTAAAATGATAAAATGTGCATTAGGGTGCAATCAAAGGTTTCGCCCCCCAAAATCTTAACAGATAAGGGGATAAACATTTTTTGCAAAATATATAAAAACGCATGCAAAGAACAAGGGCTATGTGTTTTGCTTTCTACAATCGATCAAATGCACTTGATCAATGCGATGATTAAATAGGGGAACAAAACAATTCCCTTTGCAGTGACCAGTTTTTTACAATAGGTGAACCAAACGGTTCCCTGTAAACAGAATAATGATTCAAACCGGTATGATAATGACTCATCCTTTGAACATGTATGGCATGAAACAGACAATATAAATGATGCAAAATGTTAGGGAAGTATTTCACTTCTTCTAACTCTTCCGAGACTGTGTATATCGAAATCTTCTCTGGTGATATATGGTAAAGTTTAAATTTTTCATTGCAATTTGCATTGTGAACACGAATGACTTTTTTTGCAAAGAACAGAAATTTGTCGTGGTTGAAGTTTTTCAATATCCATTGTTGCCTGCTTTAAAGTTAGATGTTGATTTCTGAAATTACAATAGTTGCAAAGTGTGCTGTTGAAGAGTGGAAGAGTGGATTTGAAAGTTGTTGCCCAAATTCAGGGGTGGAAAATTTTTTTTTCTTTCTGGGAACCTGGGTCTAAGGCTAGAAATTTTCTGTAAAATTTGCAATGTTACAATTACAAAAATAACAAAACAAATGCATAATTATTGTATTATTTGTACTTTAGTAATAATAGGCTTTAGGCTGGTTTTCGTATGCTCGTACATCGCAATAGTTGTCTGTTATATACCACAGTTATGAGTTATGACCAACTAGTAAGGATCTAACACTTAACTAAGTGTCCCATCATCTTATTTAATCCATCACTTTTATTTGTTTACTATCTAATTTGCATTTTATTGGAGACTTTGCAGAGCATATATTTACCATTTTACCACATTGTGATGGCAGGGGTGGGTAAAAGAATTAATTTCTGTCAAATATTTAAAAGGCTGCTGATGTTAGCATGTACAGTGTAAATAAAGTAGAATAGTTGTAACTTGTAAGTTGAGTAAACAGAGTTATCTCAAAATGTTGAAATATTTTCTGGAAAATTTTCTGCAAAACTCTCAACTCAAAAAAATTTCTGGGAACTACGTTCCCAGGTTCCGTTACTTTTTCCACCCCTGTGCCCAATATTGACTGTTGAGTAGCAACATTGGTTGTTGATTAGACATTGATTTTTGGCGGTGATGGAATGCCGTACGCAGAGGCTTTAGCTGGCTATGACTTATACAATTAGTATTGAGATACATTTCACTACACTTTACATGGCGGACGTTAGAACACGAGCGAAGCCGCTGAGCGAAGGAGCAAACAACTTTGATATCAAATATGACTTGGGGGCGAAACAATTTGGGGAGAATCGACTTGGGAGCAAAACGACTTTGATATCAAATGACTTGGGGGCAAAACGACTTTGGTATCAAATACTTGGGGGCGAAACAACTTGAGTTGAATCGACTTGGGGTGAAACGACTTGCATTCAATTATATCACTATCTGGCCTACTCTGGTTCCAGAGGCTCTTTGCGAGGCAAAAGAAACAACAGGCGAGAACAAGGAGCCTCTGGACACATCGCACACACTTATGGTCAATCACATGCAAGATTCAAATTCTGAACCTAATCAAGTGTGGAAGTGGAATTTGGAACCGATGTGACCAGAGGCTCTTCCTTCTCGCCTTTCGTTTCTTTTGCCTTGCAAAGAGCCTCTGGAACCAGGGTATATCTGGCCCAGAATCTCAGATATCCGATCAAATATGACATTGGTATTTGACCAGTTCTTCCCTATGGTGGCATTTTTATCTGCCCTATGCCAAAAATTAAGCATGATACACAAGCCTTAATAACTTACTCCCACAGTGTGCGGATTCCCAAAGGCCAGTTTGAAAATCATACACTTTCATAACCACTTGAAACCTTTCAGACTTGACCAAATCATCAACGCAAACACTGCTATTAAAGTTCACTGGATTCCTTTTCAACAGCGTGCTATATTGCGCTGTACACTTCTCGCACATACGCAGAGGTTTTGCGTGTTTCACTATGCACCAGTTGAAATGCTGAGTCGCATTTGCAAACAACTTCAAAAAGCTTGCACATTCTCGTTTTATACTTTTGCCCACATTTCCCAACGAGTCGTTCAAATATAGAGCGTTATTCGCTGTCTCGTTGGAGCCAGAATAGGAGAGGAATAAAACGGTAACATAAATTACGAAAAGCTTCAACATATCTGCCAAGATTAAGCTGTATTTACACACAAAATAGTTCATTCAAAAGTTCCTTGCAAAGCGCCATTTTGAATGGTTTTATACTTCCTCGAGTTTCGTCCCCCCCGCTCTCCCGAGACTTTCGACGTTCATATATACGAAAATTCTTGGGGATTTTTAAATTCATAATCCTTTTCATATTGCTTTAATTTATCAAATTGCATCTTATTGTGTTGGTATCTTTTAAATTTATTTATATTTCCACCATATTTTGATTTTCACTTGTAATAAGTGAAAATATTTGTGAAAATATCCATGGTAGAATGTGGCAGCTGTCAGGGGGGGAGGAGTTGCTTTAATAAAATATTACTGTTTAATCTATATTACAAAACATGGAAGGTTTATATTCTCATGATGTTGACTTACTTGAACCACATTCAGAGGAGAAAACATACTGTATTCGTTGTCGTTTGTGTCGCAAACAACTCATTGTTTCAAATAAAATAAAACGTTCTCACTTGTCGGGGGATAAGGCTACAGAGCCTTGCGGGAACTGTATATTTCTCGACGAAGAGTTTCTGTCCGATTGGATCAGAGATGAAATTGAAAATTCCTCGTGGACAAAAGGATGTTTGAAATGTCCTGGAGTAGGCTGTCCTGCCCGCGTTGGTGGGTTTGATTTCGTACAGGGATTATTATGCAGATGTGGCGAGTTTACCATACCTGCAATTTGGATACAGGATGGGAAAGTTGATGTCAGGGCTATTAATAGTAATCATGTCATGCCAACTGCTAAGCCAAGTTTGACATCAAGCGAAAAATCTTGTTCAGGGCAGATACCTGTCTCAGAAAAGAGCTCAAATGTTACAGGTTATGGTAATTATAGCACCAACCGGCCAAGTTTAATATCAAATGATAACTTAAATTCAAAGCAGATGCCTGAATTGAAGGTGAGCTTATGGCAAACCTGCCCACTCTCAACTCTCCCGACATAGCCGGGTGTCTCCCGGTATAGACCTTGTGATCTCAAAGGAGATTCAAAAGTAGTTAGGTTGCAGCCTAGACCTGGGGCGAAACGAATGAAGTGTCTCTCCTCTGCATCCACTTATGAGAAGTGTACTCAAGGCCCCAATTACCGTATCATTACTCGAGAGTTAGTTAACTTTTAACAACATTCTAGTATAAACGCCGCCAGGTCATGTTGGCACCTCGCAACAATCAAAACATTCGTCTCCCTGTAGGTCCAAGCCAATCTGGTCATTTTGAATGTTTTTTACGGGGGTGTTGGCCACTAGCCTTAGAGCAGAGGCTAGGAACATATGGCAACAGGGTAGGCTGATTAGCTGATATCAAAAGCGCCGACAAGGAGTCAGACTGCAATAAATGCACAACTAAGTTAAAAAGTTATACTAGAATACTAAAAAAGTGGTGTAATTTTAAGTTTGCATTATCAACCTGCAAAGTTCCTGGCAACCTGCAAAATTCCAACCTGCAAAATCCCCAACCTGCAAAATTCCAACCTGCAAAATCCCCAACCTGCAAAATTCCAACCTGCAACCTGCAACCTGCAACCTGCGTTTTGTACCTGCCGACTACACTCGTGGACCACGGATCACTCCCGTGGACCACTCTTGTGGACCACTTGAAAAATTTCGCCTACCGACTAGACCAAGCACAATTAACCCGAGTTTAGGAAGCCGAGATTGGCGGGAACTATTTCATTATTCATTACCATTATTTATTTCACAATCAATTCAGTTCTTGTTGATGAACAGTGAATACTAAGTCTGTAAATGCTGAAAGAATGTAGTCAGGGTTCATTACAAAATATAGGAATACTATGGAGAATCGGCAGGGGGGGAGGGGTGGTCAAAGGATTTTACTGAATTATTCGAATTTTACTGTTAAAAAATCACTTGAACTGTAGAAGTCGTAAGTTGCAATGACCTTTCAATGCCTGAAGGTCCTCTCCCAAAAATATTAATTTTTGAAGCTTGATTACTGCTTTTCTTGCATTTTCTGTAGCGATCGGGAAAAAAACAACCAATTTTAAGGATATTCGGAAACTTTGCATTAAAGTTGTAATAATTATTGCACACTTATATTTTAGAATGGTCATATAGTGAATGGATTTAGAACTTCACATTTTGTGTAAAGTTTCCCGGCACAATGATAATAATGACTGAACTCGACTCGAACACATTTTTCCATGCACAGTCAAGAATTCAAACCCCAAAAATTTGGTGTCTCGCAAGTGGTCCACGAGAGTGGTCCATGGTCCATGAAGGTAGTCCATGGACCAGGTCCACGAAGGTAGTCCACGGACCTGGGGTCCGCGTTTTGTCATTTTCCAGACCTAGGCCTCTACTCGGCTGGCTTTGGCAAGTTTGGTAAATTTCGGGTCTTCTCATGTGAAAAAGCGCCAAAAATTAAAAAATAATAAAAATAGAAGGCGAAGGTCTAGGCTGGTTAAGTTGGTGTTATCTCGTGTCACTTTATAGTAACATGAGTCACACATTAATTTACGATGTCACCACCAATCTTATCATGTTATAATCAAATGTTTAATTTTTACTGTGAATCAGTAGCGTACCATTATTTGTACCTGCATGCAAAAATGTGACAGAAAAAATATATTATGTTTGTGATGTTACTCTGAGTGTATATCCACACAGCTAGGCAGGCTTGAAAACCTACGACCTTTGGAATACTAGCCCAATGCTCTGCCAACTGAGCTATGCAGTCAGGTCGGTTCGACCTGATATACACTCAGAATAACATCCGATCCTGCCGGATATACACTCAGAGTAACATCACAAACATCTTATTCACCTGAGTACACTACACCATCACAGCAAATATCACAAAAATATATTAGTTATTACACCAGATCAAAATTACTCTGACTGATAGTTTGGTTACAGAATGTAACATGAGTATCCATGAAATTACTCATGTGGTACATGGGTGAAAAAGGGAAGTACCATGATGCCATATAATATCACCATACTGGTACGCAAGTACACAGATTATCGCAGCCTGCTAGTACTTCTAAGAACTAGGGTACCTGCAAGGTAGGGATTGCTGCAGGCATTAAAAGAAAATAGAACTACAGTAAACAGTACAAATTATATCAAGCACAGTGATTACTCGCAGCGACCAGTGAGCTGTGAATGGAACTCAGAAGAAACAATATATATTGAAGTAGCAAAGACCAGGGGTTAAAGGGTAATCAGAGGTGACAGATATTAAACATGTGCATCTCATTGACATACAGGTAAATTAAGATCAGATTTTATATCAAGTCTGTTTACTGCTAGGCACATTTACCACATTATATAGACTATATACACAGATTTATCACACTAAGAAACCAAAACTTTATAAAAATATAGAACTGACAGTGGCCAAAGTCCAAAACAAATGTAAGCGTAACATTAGACTTGAAAAAGCTTTAGAAATTCGATAAAAATTCGAAGACTCGAGCAAGTTTAAAATTTGTGTTCTGCGCATAGAAAGCGCGCACGACCACAATTCCATGCGCTTAATAAAATTTAGTTCAAAACCCCCTCTCTGCATATATTAGGTTGCTGCTACGCTCGCTCGCTTCAGGCTCGCTCGCTCTGCAGCAATAAATTGTTCAGGCCCTGGGGACAAGGTTGGTTCAGGGTCTGAAATTTGCAGCATCCTGATATCCACAGATACCAAAAATTTGGTTTTGGATACCAAACTGTGGATGACTTGTATCCAGACTGAATCATGGCTGGATTTTGAGGGGAGGTGTGGGGAGGTGGGCTGAGTCGTAAGTCATAATTCCTAAATACACTGATACATATGTACAGTACTTGGCTTGTACACTGACTTTAATATGGGGGCTATATTCTAAGTCCTAACATTAGATGCGCTGCACCTTCCCTAAATATATTTCTACCTGCCCTAGTATTTCCACCAAAATCCGGTTTTGGACTGAATACTAAGAAAATTTCAAACATTAAGAACATGTTAAGCACCTTTGACGGGCTCCTGATAGCTTTTGAATACCATCAATGTATTAATGAATTGTTTAGTTGTTGACTGTTGAGTCTCCTGTTGTTATTGTACCGTAAACCTCCGACTATAAGCCC